TATCTCTCCCCTCTGAGACATATCCTCATCTCAGGAACCATGCACTCAAAATGGCAAACATCTTTGGCAGCACCTATGTCTGTGAACAGACTTTTTCTAGAATGAAACATTTGAAATCTCCAACCAGATCAAGATTAATGTATGCACACTTGCATCACTTGTTATGAGTAGCAGTGACAAATATGGAACCAGACATTGACCATCTCATTAGCCAAAAGCAGGCCCATAGTTCCCATTGAAATACTGGTAAATTTGTTGATTTAACTTTACTTCATTTTAAATATTGTATTTGTTCCCATTTTGTTTCTTCACTTCTTTGTTTCTTCACTTCATAAGATATATGCAGTGTGCATAGGAATTTGTTCATAGTTTTTGTTTTTACTATAGTCCGCCCCTCCAATGGTCTGAGGGACAGTGAACTGGCCCCCTGTTTAAAAAGTTTGAGGACCCCTGTTGTAGACAGTAGGCAAGATTCGTCAGTGCCTTTGGATATGCCGCTCATCTGGCCCAGAAGACTTGATCCCATAAGGTAAAGGTAAAGGTTCCCCTTGACAATTTTTGTCCAGTCGTGTTCGACTCTAGGGGCCGGTGCTCATCCCCGTTTCCAAGCCATAGAGCCAGCGTTTTGTCCGAAGACAATCTTCCGTGGTCACATGGATAAGTAAGTCAAATAACTGACGTTCTAGGTCCAGTTCCTCATTCTAAAGATAAGGAATGATTCTAAAGACATGTATGGTTGCAGTGGAAGAATTTGAAGGCAGCCTACTTCAATCTAGCTTCATCTTTCATCTACTTTTGTAAAGGATCCTCCTCTACCTCCCTAGTTCTCTGTACTCTCTTGTGGCTGATGCAGATAGCCACAGAGGTGCAGGAGCAGGGAACAACCAGGATTCTTTTCCCTCTTGTATGAAAGGGGAAGGAAGATTTATTTTCCCTTCTGATTTGGAGGCAAAAACTTCACAAGTGAGGCTCTGACTGCAGTTTTATCCTTTGGCAAGCTTTGCCCTTGTAAATCAGACATGCCACGATAACTGCAAAGCCATAACTAGCTATTTTGGCATCTAGGAAGATTGGCGTTATCTCCCTCCTGTCGCTCCTTCCCTGCTGCATGGGTGTGAGAGCTTCTCTGGAAAAAATGTATTGTTCCCTTGAACGTTTATTTTATTTTTCTAAAGAAAGTGAAGAGGGCTAAGGGACCTTCCTTTCCCCTCCCCCTAAATTGTTCAATGGATTAACCTATAGATTTTAGTGCCCTCTGATTTTCTTGCCCTAGGACATTATTTCCCAACCTGGCTGTACTGGCTGGGGTTTCTGGGAACTGCAGTCCAAGACCAGGTTTACTCAAGGTTAGGAACCACTGCCCTAGGATGCGCGCGCGCAAGCACACACGCACGCGTGCACACACACTCACACGATTGCACCACCCTACCTATAGCTCCAGGTGGCCCTTTATAGACGCAACAGGCCTACGTGGCTGTCTGCAGTTATACTGGAAGAGAAGGCCAGTGATAGACCAGACTTGACTAGATTAGAATTAAGCTGGCAGAACCCTGATGTTGGGAAAGTGTGGAGGCAGGAGGAGAAGGGGACGACAGAGGACGAGATGGATGGACAGGGTCATCAAAGCGACCAACATGAATTTGACCAAACTCCGGGAGGCAGTGGAAGACAGAAGAGCCTCGTGTGCTCTGGTCCATGGGGTCACAAAGAGTCGGATACGACTTAACAACTGAACAAAAACAAAAGCAGAACTAGGAAAGCTTAAGATATGCTGCCTACCCACTGACTTCTTGTGCTCTTAGCTGTAAAGAACTAGGAAAGCTTTAGGATATGCTGCCTACCCCACTGACTTCTTGTGCTCTTAGCTGTAACACCGGTAGGAAAGCCTATTTTCTCCAGCAGCCATAAATTGTTGCGAGCTCTCTCCCTCTTCTTCTGCAAAATATTTGGAGTTGGACGGTTTTGTTCCCGGCGGGCGATCAATATTCATTAGCTGTACAAAAGAATTGCTCCCGGTGGAACTGGAAAACTGCGCGAAAGGTGTGGTCTGTATGAGACCAAACCAGCTGCCTGCAGCGGATGTGCGGGGTGTGGAGATCTTGCTGCGAGGCCCCCGTTTCAGGCCCTGGGTCCACGCGTGTCCTCTGGGGCACGAGGGGGCCCCGCGCGCTGAGAAGCGCAAGCCAGAAAGCCAGGCGCGAGGCCAGCAGGCGCCCTCCCTGCCGCCTCCCCGTTTCTGAGCACCTCACCCTTTCCCCCGCCACCAGCACCACCGCCTGGGCACAGAAAGGGC